CTTTATGTACTAATTTAAATATCTTACGTAATTCACAACCTTACACAATAATTAATTTCTTTAATAATCAATTTTCTAAATAGTTATTCAAAATAATTTTAATAACTCTAAAGTATAACATTATTATTATATTTCTACATCATTCAAAGACATCTCTATCAGTTAATTTTTAATTACATGCAAAGGATATTTAAAGCAACAAGTAAGAAATATGTAAAATATTACACATCCTATTCCACTAAATAACTGCACGATACAAAAATATATACAACATTAAGTTAAAAATATAAAAACAAAACATCTAATTATAAATTTAAATAACTGTCAATAAGTATTTTTAATTTAAAGTTATTAGAAAATAATTACTAGAAAATAATAAACAAAATTTATGTAATTGTATAGATACAACGGAAGTACTTACTTCGTGGAACATATTTTAAAAAATAAAAAATTCTGATTAATTATTGTACTCTCGTACAATTTGATACGGGAGGAACTTCATGCTTTTTTTTCTCTACAATTACTTTGGCACTAATATAACATATTTTATTATTGCACTTCGATACAGGAATAATCTTGTATTTTATTTACAAGTAGCATATAATTTCTACCTTACGGACATATCTTAGTATCATACAAATACAATTAAAATGTGAATGGATAAATGTAGGAATGGAAAAAATTGAAAATGCACATTTTGAAAACATGTTTAAAAATAACGGGAACAATTTGCATTTACTGCATCTCATAATTGTCTCAAGTTCACGTTATCGAAAAATAATGATAAAATCGTAATTAAAATATTTTTTCAACATATTAATCATAAAAAGAATTTAATTTTAAATTCAAGTTAAGTTTAAATTAAAGTCCAAGTTTAAATAAATTAAAAATTTTCGTGGATTAAATAGCATTACATTTCGACAAATATCCGGTGTTGAATAGTACGTGTATAATGTATTTTTTCGAAATAATATATTTCATCAAAGAGAAATATTGCAGATATATGTATTTTAAAAATATTATGTTATATTAAACTTTGATATGTTGAATACTGAATACCAGATTTAACTCTTATGCGTCATTTTACTATTTTTAACCAATGTAATGCATTTAGAACCACAAAAATTTTGTAAAATAAAAAGTTGTTTAAACTCGCAGATATTTAATAAAAAAACGTCAATATAAAAAACCGTTATGTGAGATTTGTTAACGTGTTGAATACAAAAAAAATAAAATAATTGCATAATTCGCATGTTGACAATATCGAAATACTATATAACATTAAATTAAAAATTTTGCAATATCCTGAGTGCTTTTAAATAAACTATATTGTACTTCTCATAACTCTCAGGTTTTGGAAAATTATAATATTTTCAAACATATTATCTAAAGTTTTAGCTTATATAAAAGAAAATTTACATTATATTTTAATGTACGTCTGTTAAAATGTATTATAAAAGGATTGCAAAAATATTTTTCTTCATTATTTTTGCGTGCATGGGTTGAACATAATTAATTTGATAAAAAAAACATGACGATTTATTTATAATATTTTGTTATATGTTTTTGTCATATGTGATATAATGGTCATATGTGATAGAGATTTTTAAACAGAATATTAAACAATTAATATTTACGCATATAATTTACAGATACAGCGCATGATAATATACAATATGAAGTGGCAATTCAAGAGAAAGATGATTTAACAGTTCTTGACTGCATGAAGAGCAATATTGGACAACATAAATGATACAATTATGATTTTCACATTTATTTCATGTATTAATAATAACTTGATGCGTCATAGCTTTATCGTCGCCTATATAAAAATAACAGAAAAATATTTTAGCAATTAAGTCACAAAAATACTTAAAAACATTTTTATATAAAACAATTTTTTTAAATAAAAAGGTGTTATCTCTCAACCCACTTTTCTTTTTCACCTCAACCATATAATATATAACTTTAGTTTTAGATTACTCATTTTCCGAATTTCCCAGACTATATCGATCAAAAATTAGTATCAAACTTAAGCGTTATAAAATTTCGCGAATTAGAAAACATTCTCTGTTTGTATGTTTAGTAATCGGAAATTTCTCTTCAGATTAGGCGTCGTAAATCTGTGGGTCGGAAAATCAAGTCAGTATTTAGAGCGGACAAAGATAATAATGTGTATTTACTTTCTTTCTCCGTTCTTCTACTGTGTTTAGGTGCGCATGTGTATAAGATTATTGTAATAATGTTATTATTATAGGCTGATAGGTACATACAAAACAACACACAATAAAAACAATAACATAATATTAACGTGACGCTCACAATAATAATGATAATAATATTAATAATAATATAATATAATAATCTTAAGAATTTTTTAATATTCATAATAAACATCATCAGTGGTATATTTAATAACTAATTACAATCAACTTGCAGCAAAGCTTCGGACGGCACGGTAAACGCAACAGGATCGCTACCGTCCGATCGAAATTTTCCCATTTAATCGTTCCACTTGAAATTATTTACCTCGTTATCATTTATATTGTATTATATTATCGTCGTTACATAATTAACTGTTACAATACCGTGGCAGAACTATACAGTTGTCCGGAACTCAGTCTCTCACGAGTTCAAATTCACTCTATACGATCCACGTCCCATCATCGCGCTGTCTTTATTACTCGGATTCAGCCGCATTTATCTGTTGCCATCGTTCGCGGCTGTTTCATACGCTTAAGAATTTCCAATTCACGATTATCCCGTTTTTACTTCTCTCGTTACCACTCTTTCTCTCGCTCTCGATTTGTTCCACTTCTCTTTCTCTCGTCTCCCTTCCCCTCTTGCTCTCACGCTCTCTTTCACTATCGATTTTTCCAGCGCAAAGCAAGTACCTATATTTTTCATTTTGTACCACAAAAACATACATTCGTATCCACAGCCGTGTGACACGTTCGTACACCACACACATGAAACTCTTGCTTACAGAAAACATACGTACATATATGTGCGCAAATATACCTACACGTACATATATATACGCACACGCCCGTTCGAACACACGCATACGTACACATACACAAAATACACGTATATAATATATTGTAGCCATTCACACGGACTCAGTAGCCCTTTGTAATTTAGATAATGTTGCACCTTAGAATAGAGATCCAGTGAGATAGTTTTTTTTTTTCATTTAACATCTGATTAGATTACCTACTTACTTGCTGATGTTCTGTTCGAAATTGTATTCCGGCCGCGCTTAGGACTTCGTTCATACGAGATCGATTTTCTCTTACTACGTTCGCTTCTCGTCGTGAAAGACATGAGCACGAATTTTAAACAAAAGATATAAAATGACCGGAAAACGTTCGTCAAGTGAAACATCCATTGAATATTTACAGAGATTAATACTTGTGACATTCACTGAACGCAAAAAAAAATAAATGTAAATATAAGTTAGTTATCAATAATCATGTATGCATAATTATTGATAACTATTAATCAACAAATAATTTTTCCTTAAATATTTTTAAATCGAGCCAAAAGCATAAAAATATAATCGATAAAAATACACATCGATTTAATAATTAATTTTAATATTAAATTAATTTTTAATATTAAAACTTAACAAATGTGTTTTATAATATCAATCAATATCACGTCCAGTTTTTGTCGACGAATACTTAGGATACCCAATGATAATGAAATATTATAAAATACGAAAAAAAATTTATCAGAAAAATTTTCGGCATTGGTTTTTTTAGCAACGTAAGCCAAAAAGCCATTATCACGTGTTACCGATTTTTATCATAAAAAATAATGCAATTATGCTATCTCGTCAGCAAGCAGTAAAGTTTAAAGTGTTAAGTACCACAACCTTTTGTTCCTTTCACGGCAAGAATTTCGCCCGCGCGCGAAGATGAAAATACTGAGCGTACGATCTTAACCCTGTATATAACATTATAATTTTTTATGAAGATCCCAAACTCAGCCTAGAACGGTACAATAGACCACTAGTCTGGCTACTAGGTATATTTTTTTTTTAACATAAATCGCTTTTCTTCAATACTAGTATAAGAATTATAGGTACTAATTTGCGATCCTTTGATAGGTGATTAGTACGACAATGTGGACGTAACTACCTAACTTTTCGGATACGCTCGTGTTCTACACTGACTTCAAAATTTATCATACTTTTTATTTTGTCACGATAGGCAAATAATCCAACGGCAAAAGAAGAAGAATATTTATATGACAAACTACTTTTGAACTTTCTTTTCGAATCTAAAATCATCATTATAAATAAAATATATGTATTTTGATAAATATGAACTACGCTGCAAGTTTGTTAAGATCATTTGTTGACGATAATTGACATTTAAATTCAAATATATTACCGAGAGAACAGATATTTTCTGATGTGAGTCTAAATGTCAATAAAATTTTTATGAGCTACTTCGAGTAGCTTAACATTTTAAGAAAATGATAATAAAAAAAACAGATATAAGAGCGTGAATGACGAGTAATAATAAACATTTTGCTAATGTTAACTTTTTAGTATTACCTAATTGTACAATAGGTAGGTAGGTCGACAAGATTTGCAGGTCTTTAACGCGATTATATATAACCCATACCGAAGTGAAAAATTAATTTAAAGAGCGATACACATGCATTTACGCGAGATCAGTGAGTCCACTTACCCCTAAAAGCGACCCATCCGCTTTACAACTTGCGATTCTCGACGGACCGTCCAGCCCTAACTGCAAAATCAATGGTGTCTGATTGAATCAGCTCCAGGTGTAACTGTAACGATACGTTCCAATCTCCAGATGTGCGACCCGGGCCCGACAATAGACGGGGATGGAGTAAACGAGTAGACGATGCGACTGGAGGAAGAAAAAGAGGAGACTCTGGGGCGGTGGGAGGAATAGGGGTACATTAAGTGACATTAATTACCTCTTTACTTTATGTATATATATAATATATATATATATATATATATATGTATAACTGGAGAAAATACTACCGAATTACGAATTGGACAGATTGCTTGGTGTCGTCCGATGACGTGTATTATTCATACCCGTCACCCGACACCGACACTCAAAAAGAGTCTTCGGGCCGCTTGAAATAGTGGCCCCAAACGCGCCCTTTCTATACAATAGCGAAGTTTTCGCTTGATTGAATAATATAATTAATAATTAATAATATAATTAATAATTAATAATATACTACGCGCGAGCTTTATCTTTCCTTAGTAGAGGCAGTCTTTGAACGGCTGCTCGATAGAGTCCATGAGTTTTCATCAAATTCCCGTGGACGTGGATGTTAATCGACGGTTTAATGGGATCACCTCAATTCATTCGAGGCGTCTCGACGGGTTTTCTCTGGGGCGTTCGGTGTGTTCAGGCGGCCAAGCCGTGAGGCGTTTGATGTAGGAGAGCGGGATACTGTTGAGCCACGTGCGCCAGCTGATGATGATGGTTGCCGGAGTGTGCGTGCGTATGTGTGTGTGGATGGACTACGGCCGTGGCGGGCGTTACGGTGCCCGACGACGACGACGACACGTGAATCGGCGGCAGCGGCGTCTGGGACTGCGGTGCGTGGAGGCTATGGCTGTGACCTGCTACCAGGCTGTTATGGCTGCCCCCGCTGCTGGACGAGGTATGACTGTGATGATGATGCCCGAAGACGACCCCAGAGAAGGCCACGGGTCACTGATGATGCTTCGTCGAGCCGTTCGCGTGATGCGCCTGCGCGACCACGTGGTGACTCGAGGGTGGTGCGTGCGCGGTGCTCGGATGGTGATGACTGCCGGTTGCCGCGTGGTGATTCGCATTATTGGCGCTGCTGCTATTATTGTTGTTATTTTGCTGCTGGGTCTGCCGTTGGCTGTTCTTCTTGTTCTTCATCCGACGGTTTTGAAACCAGATCTTGACTTGGCGCTCGGTCAGATTCAGGTTGCGCGCGAGCTCCCATCGCTTCTGTTTCGACACGTAAGCGTTGAAGAGAAATTCTTTCTCCAGCTCGAGAGTTTGAAACTTGGAGTAAGGCTTGCGTTTCTTCCGCACCGTCACTTGGCCCGTCCATTCCAAGGGGTTGGAGCTGCCGCACCCGACACCCATCCCGACACCAACCCCGACTCCCACACCCGCAAGCGAACCTGCGGGAAACAAGGAAGATGGGGAGGAACCCCACATCACTTAACACAATTAGTTTGTCGATGATAAAACAACCTAGCTGGTAGCTAGTAATATACAGTAAGGAAATTTTGTCTCAAAGGCGACGATACCAAGATTCGCAAGATGGATTTCAATATCACTTGCGCTTTTGATTTTACAAAATTTTTCACAGCCTGATTTAGATTAGATCATAAGACTGTAAATCAATATTCAAATCAAATAAATGAATAAACTAAATATTACAGACAAATTTAATACTGTCTGTAGAATAGTTTCTAGTTTAATCGCTGGCAAAATCCGAGCGGATTTTGAATGAAGAAAGTAGTTGTACCTGTTCTTTTACAATCATCGTCATTCGTTACTACGAAGTGACTGGCAGAAATAAGCGCAAATATATCGGTTCGTTAGTTGGTGCTTCGGTGCGTAACCGATACCGTTATTCTTTCTTTTTTAATAGACGTTCCGTAATCGTTCATTATAAAAATGATTCTGCCATCTGGATCGTATAATAAATTAATAAATGCAAATTGTGTTTACTTATTACGCAAATTTATCCTCTCACGTAAATAAATCAATTCAGAGAAATTAAATTAATTTATTCTGAAAATGACAAATGCACTCGCTACCGCAATTCTAGAAAAAGTGTTTTAAAAAAGCCTTTAAAAAAAAGATAAAAAAAGAAGATATTCAGTATTAATTATCTTAAATAAAAATGATCAGATCGGTGCTAATTATGAACGCAGAAATGCGCGCAGTAATTTGTTAATTTCTTTAATTTTTACGATAAATTATTAAGCAATGCATTCTATAAGATGTATTAATATTTTTATGTAATAAAAAATATTATTTCAACAATAAATCCTATTGAAAAGTGTGTTGCTTAAATTTTTATATAAATGATGATTTGGCAGGTGCAATTTGGCATTTTCTCATTCTCGACCTCTTCGCTCTCCATTGTTCTCGTATTTAGACGAGAATGGACGTATTCTACACGAGGAACTAGATCTGCATAGGGTACATCCGCAACTAAATCCGTGCCTGATGCAACTCTCCGAATGTCAAAGCGTGCACTCCAGCTGCATGTGCGTGCGCAACATTATTCATACATATACACGCGTATATGTATACGTGTACAACATGCGCACGAGGGTTGCCGTGGCCGTTCCTGGCACAGTGGTATGATATAATTGGACCGGTTCTACTAACCGCACGAAAAACATGAAGCCGGAGTTAGCGCGGAACCGTTGTTAGGCTCGTTCTCTAGAGCGTTTCGACTGGTCGGTGGTTTTTAACAGAGCACACTATGCTCCGTTGCAAACTCAGAATATGGAGCAACGCGAATGCATTTGTTAAAGCGGAATATACGATATGGGATGGTGCAAGATACATACGGCAAACTCGCGCCAGTGGAATGAAGCGATTACGAAAGCTCGCGACTCATCCGTCTATCTTTAACCCAGCCATGGACTGGATAAACGTCTTCTTCGTGTACGCAAATGCAACAAAATTATTTAGCGGGCTGTCTGGCGATATTTCATATTTTTCATATTTTTTTATATAAAAGAAGGGAAAAGGGGTTGTCCCGCGGAGCCACTACACTTTACACCGCACAAAAATGTCAAATTGTTTCTCTTTTATCGTTACAATCAAATATAATTAATTAGTAATTAATTTAATAATGAGAAAAATGTCTTGGCCCACAAAACTGTTTAATCAAAGGGAGTGGGTCATCTATCTTTAGCATATCTGAACAAATATTGTTACCTGATGCAAAACATTGTTTGATCCGTCGGAACATATGCGTGCAATGGACGCCATTCGCGCAACATTATAATACCTCAGATGTCACGCAGATATTTTTATGAATCTCAACTGACAGCTCTTTAGATTTATTACTATTAAAGCTATAATTTTCTGCCAGCTTAAGCCGTAAAACAAAAATACATAAACACAAGAGTCATTTTAACATGCAAATTATTAAAATACTTTGATATCTTATATATCTTCGTCGATAAGATACGCGTTTGTACAAACGAACGAAGAATTTCACTCCTCGAGTTTTACCCTAGTTCAATTCTCGAATTTTCCTCTGGTCCTCGAGCCTTTCTCTATCTTCCTTTCTCTTTTGATACGCTCTCTTGTTACCTCGATGCGATTATATAAGAGATAAAAATTTATTGCGCATTAAAACATAAAAATGTTTAACAAAGGTCAGTACTCTTACTAAAACGTAAAAATTATTTAACAAAGGTCAGGATTCTCATAAATAATGATATAAGACGAACAGAGATAGAGATCATGCCATATTAATGAGTAAATTATAAAAATAATGAATCGTTAAATTTCGATTCTAATGTTTTATAAATTTTCGTACAAATATTCTGTTTTAAAATTCAATACCGAAAATCTTAACAAAGTATCAATTTTCATATATATTATATATATATAGGTATATATATATATATATATATCTTTGATTTTAGAATTTTGGTCCATCAGTTAAATTGGAATATTAAGATAAACGACATAAAGGTATACATTTTTTAATTGTTAACAATTCCTTTTTAAACTGATATTTTATATCTATCTAATCAAATAAGCCAAAATATTAAAGTTTCTTTGATATTTATTAGAGAGTTAATAAAATATTTAAAAAATCACAAGATATTAATTATTTAGAGTTATAAAAAAATCAGTGTACGTTCTAAAAAACATTAAAAATTAAAACAAAGTAGTATTGCCTATAAAAAGAATAATAAAAAGATTAATATAAGGAGATTGAAATGTTGCGCGCGCGCGTTCAAAAATTGCAGCAAGTCTCCCGAACTAATAGACTCGATTTCTGATAGTCGAAGGGTTCATAACTGGGGTTGTCGCGCGTAACGGGAGTGCAATATTGATTGGGAGCGTTCGACATCTTTCATATCTATAATATATTTCTACCTATTTACTATTTCCATTTTTAATTTCTATGAGTCAAAATTTAGAAATTAAATAAATTTTACAAATTAAGTATAAATCAATAAATAAAAGATTTAATATATTTAATTAAATATTTACAAATGTAATCTATAAATTCAACATTATTGTAAATACTGAGCAACGGAAATGTTTAATTGTACAATCTAATCTTGAATATTAAGGAGATTAGAAACATACATATATGAAACTATTGCTGTATTCCTAATTAACTTTTTATTTAATGACGTAGCTTTATTTCAAAGAATTAAAACATCAAGTAAATAAATATATACACGCATATGTTTCTTCTTTAAATAAAAAGCAAATAAATCTCAAAAACGGCCCATTTAAATTTTACTATTCGTACAAACGGATAGAATACTTTATTTCACCGTGAAACCGGTGGGCCTGATAAAGCCATACTTTATGCTAAATTTATTCTGGCCCGTGATATAAGTGCGCATAATGATGACCGGTAGGCCTCAAAGGCCTAATTAAGCGCGGATACTAATACGCGGTAAAATAAATGCGGACCGATAAATGGCTCGCGGCGAGTCGCGTTCTCCCGATGATGCGGAGATAATATCTCACGGGAGAGATCGACTTGTGCCGGGGACACCTGGCCGACATTGTGATTCTTCGGAGATTACCCGGACTAATATGGGATGGTTCTCGGCACGATACAGTGGAAGCGGCGGACTCTCTCGTGTCGAACGAGCGGGCAAAGATAATGGAGCCGCCATCTATTGGGCTACGCTTAAACTATACGCGGGTGCGCGCCCGCGTTTCGCTATTTCGTATGTACGGCACGCTTGTGCGCGCGCGCGTACACACACATACGCACGCACACATACATATATACACTCCTCTCCCTTCGTGTGCATACGATTAGCTCTCGGCTGATCACGCGAATGTTATCTCGGTTATCAAAGTGCCGTCGATGGCGCTCGCACGAGCAACAAAGTAACGATAAACCGCGGCAACGAGCGTCGTGCCGCATGTGGCGAGCAAAACACGGCGAACTTTTTTTTCAGAAGGACGCGGCGGACGAACGGTAACGATCGATGAGACACACACCTTCCCTTTTACGCCTGATATGAAATTCAAATATTTCCACACGGAATGGAAAAATTGAGCACCGCCATCACGATATAATTATGTTAAATATCATTTACAATCTTTGGTATATCGATTATATCGTAATAAGAAATGATTATAAATTAATGCCATGTCAAAGTATTTTATTACCACGGTGATTTATATCCGTTATTGTGATATCCCGCATAGATAAAAAATACGAAAATTAATGACTCATTTTAAAGCGTATTTAATGTTTGCTAAAAAGTATCTTTATAAGCGATGATTTCGTAGTTACGAGTACTTTCCTGCGAAAAGAACATTACCAAGCAGCACGGCGTATCTAGAACACTAATCTGTCTTAAAGGGAACGTTAGTTGAATGTGAAAAAAAATGATAGTACGAAAATAAAATAATGGAGAGATAGTCGCGACAATACAAGCGCGCGAAACAGCCGTTAGCCGGAAAGACTGAACGCCTGCACGGGTCATGGAACGGATCAGCTGATCGGAGGCGCGCGCCAGAGTTTACGAGTTACGGCCGCCAATAAACCCGCCGCCGTTCGTTGTTGCTCATGCGACGTTTCATGGGTTGCAGGGTCCCGAGAAAAGGACAGAGAAGGGAGGAAGCACAAAAGAGAACGATGTGAATGAACGATGACTGCGGTCTTTACTTGTCGAATAAGTTCGTCAGGAATCGTCGAGGAATACTCGAGACGCCCATTTTAGGAAGTCACGTGCGATTAGTGTAAATTACCGGCAATCCTTTTGTCGTAGCATGCTACATACATCGTTCTTGGCGCGACGTCTTCGTTTAGTCTAAGCTAAGAAATTAATTTTAAATTTCGTTTCACAGGTTTATTAATTCCAATGGACTTTCTGGACGTGACATTTGAGGACTATTATGTCGTTTTACGGTAATTTTTCTGTGAAAACGAAAAACTACCTGAGGAGTTTACAAACTTCCCATTGTATATACAGGAGCGTACAAAATAGTTCACCGTATTACGAATAGAAGAAAAAAGGCAGTGAAAATCTTTCTGTGAAAATACTGTTAGTGTTAAACGGTAAATGATGTTACATTTTATATAAGCTGAAAAGGGATTCAAGACCAATTGTTAAAAAAGAAAAAAATTTGACAAGTCGGAGTAGATGCTTACCTGGAGGTGGGTAGGGGCTCGAAGTAACAGGTTCGGGCGCTCCGTAGGCGCTTCTCAGGCCGCCGTATCCATCGTGAGGAAAGGCACCATCCGCAGCAACCATAGCGGCAGCGACCCTACCACGGTCATCCGCCGCGGATGGCGCCAGATACGGTACCCCCGCCTGCGAATGAGGATGATGATGTCCAGCCGTGTCAACAGGATGGTGATGCCTCGCCGTCGTGTATGGCCCGTAATTGCACCAGCTCTGAGAGAAGCTCTGATGACAGGACGACACGGCTGGATCGGCGGCGCCGGTGGCACCGGTGGTGGATCCACCGGTACTCGACGTCGTAGTTGCCGCGCCGGCCGAATTGTAGGACTTGTAATCCGAGGTAGAGCCGGCGGTACTGGCCGATCCAGCGGTGGCTGCCGCGGGCGACCAAAACAGCCCGGCCTTCCGGTTGTCCCTGGAGGAACCGGAGGTCGAGGTGGGATCGGCCGCCAGGTTGTAGTACGTGGGGGGATTGTTACCCCCGTAAGTCTGATGATGGTTCAACGATTCGCCCGCCGTGGACGAGTAGTGGGAGTCCTGGGGATGGTGCGGACTGTAACTCCAGCCGCCTTGAGACCCTGCCGAGTGAGAGTGCCGTATCACGCCTGCTGCGCCCGCACCGCCTGGCGCGCCTGATGATTCCACGCAAGCTACTTCTCCGTAAGTGGTACCACCGCCTCCTGGTGTCGCTGTTAATCTCTTGGCGGGTATGTGAAGTGGCCCGGCCGCGCTGTTGCTCGCTACCGAAGAAGCGCTCGGCGAGGTTGAACTGGCGCTCGCTGTAGGCGCCGGTGGCGCTGTCGTTGCCGATGATACCGGTGCACCAGGTGAAGTCGGTGTTGTCGCTTGATGAGAACCTGGTGTCGAGGTTGTCTGTTGAATCGATACGAGGGTCGAGGCTGTTGGTGGAACTGGCGGCGGGCTGTCCTCGTAGAGGGAACCGTTCATCATGGCCCACCAGGTCACCCCGGTGGAATTCCCCGCTCCGGTTGCTGTCCCCATCGGCGTGACCGAGCCAGGGTGGCCCACGCCGGAGCCACATAGCGGCGCGGCGTGAACATTATCGTACAGCGTCGCCGTCGAGCAAGCCACGTGATCGGCGATGGTGCAGATGATGACGGTTTATTGCCGGTGTTACAACAATATTTATGTCCGCGTTGATTGGTGTAGGTGATGGTTCCGTGACCGCCGTATGAGTTCGATGATAATCCGCGCGATACGTGAAGCACAAGTCGACCAGAGTTCACCCGAAATATGAAAGTCGTCGCATGGTCGTTGCGATAACAAAGCGATAAGCAAAACGGGTATATGTAGATTTCCCCAGTTTTTGCGGAACACCGATCAAATGAAACGTAGCGTAAATCGCGAATGGGTCCAGCAGTAGGAAACACGACGTGCGCGTGATGCGAGTACACGCCGAGGATTTTCACCAAGAACCGAGAAACGGAGCGCTCATCGTGATCGAGCCGGTCGTGTTGGTCCGTGAATTCACGGAGTAAATAAAGAAAGCGCGTGCAGAAGGTAAGCGGAGACAGGCGAGGAGCGAACGACAGGCGGGTGGGGATAGGGAAAATCGTATGGGTACCGCGCGTCCGATGACGGGGTTGGTGGCGGGAGAGAGGGTGTGCAGCGCCGCAGCAGACAGGTGGAGGGGTAGATAAACGTGGAACAGGGAAGCGAAGAGGCACGGGCAGCGGCGAAGGATAGACGGGGACGCGATAAAGTGCGTGGTAATCCACGGACGAGAGGTCCACACGCGGCGATGAGAACGACGTTGATGATGACGATGTTGACGACGACGGGTCGAGATAATCGATGTGACAGCACCGAGCAAGCCACGTGTGAACGTCGCCGATGTAGAGTAGATTAATAATTCGTGCAGATATTATGCGGTTGTCCAATCGGCCGATCCAACGATGCGGAATGAGGGTTGAAACGAAAACAAAATGACACAGCGCGATTTAGCGACAGTGCATCGTTCGGATCACGGTAACTTGGAGCAGCGATTGCGCTTGATCGCCGCGCGTTAAGACAGTTAACGCTAAAACCAGCGCGCCGCTATCTAATGCGAGCACCAGCTTATGACACTTGGCAATCGTCAATCTCTTAGCGAGCTAATTCACTGCGCAACTGATTGCGCTATGATCGTCCCCGTGGTCTGCCATGTACGAGCCGCACGTCGCCCCGTCTCTGTCATCCGCGAGAACTGTCATCCCCATTGCGAAGAGGTTCCGAGCGCGATTCATCAAACGTTCCGTTCGCGCGCGCGTTGAACGTCGCAATATCTATCCAATCACGAAACTCACAAACGGAGAAAACATTAAAGAGCCTGGAGTTGTCGCGAAGTCGTCTAAGACACTCTAGGAAGAGGGAGAAAATTCCCGATCGGAGCAGAAATCCTTTATCTCTCTCGTATTTTATCTTCAGGTCAGTCAGGTCAGATAGAACCACCCCTTGGTATTAGCGTAATTTGACCGAAGGACCCTTGGCAGGTAGTAGAACGCCTTTTCGGTCCCGAGGATCGTGCGCCGATACACACACGCACGATGCTCACACACATATGGAATAACCCCCTTTCTTCTTGCTGGCCTCGCTGAGCCGAACTGAGCGTCAACTGAGAGCTCTGCCCGCGGCTTGGAGTCGAACGGGCCGAAAGTGACGCGAGCGCGATCTCTCGGAACGTTGGCAAGCGAAGCCCGGACGGACTCGTTGTCTCCCACCCTCCTCTCACGACCGCTTCTCGCTCTCGCGCGCGTTTCTCGGCGTTCTCCCCCCATCCCCCTACCACGCGCGCTCTAATCTGCTTTTCTTCCTCTTCTCCACCGTCGCAGGCCAGCGAGCACGACATACCAACTATCTTACGGAGAGACTGCTCTTCTTGCCTTTCGACGAGTATTGCGAACCACCGAATTTCAATACCGCCACTTTTTCTCGAAATAGTCGGCTCGTGGTAAATGAGAGAAAAAAAGAGATGATCACAAACACCGAGACTGGACGATGAACCGATAGCAATTACTTCCAGTAACTTAATAAGAAACTGTATTTGCTGAATACCGTTACTGATAGTATAACTTCTATCAACAAATGTACAATTATACTACTAAATTTAGAGATTTAAATTCTTTTCCTATTTTTTTAATATCAAAGTATATGATTTTGTCAATAAAGAATTTTTTTTATTATATTATTTTTTAGTAGACTTGAGTCTACTTTAAAATGATAAGATTTTAGTCAAAGTGCAGAAAATTAAAAAAATACGATTACATAATGGATTCTTATCTTCGAATGTAATACATCCTAATGAGTCAATTCTTGTATTAATAATATTTCTTTCTAATAACAGCAATAAATAATAGTCGACCTTGTTTTACTGATATCTTTATAGCTACAATTTGGTCGTGGTTATAATTATATTTAACGATTTCATTTTACGGTTATCATTATAATGATGCTTGTGGGTGTAGTTACATTTATCAGAGACCGGTTTCTTAATTTCAGATAGTTAAGTTCCTTCAAAAGTAATTTTTCTACGATGTTTATATTACGCGCTATTCTAATTGAAAGATTCTTCCATCCTTGACTCTCTACCTTTTCTTTCAATTTTTTCATTTATTGTTACAATTATAAATTTTCAATTATCATTTTCACAACTAATGAAATTCATTAGGAATGCATCCGAATTTCTCGCGCTCTCCTTCTCACGAAACGTCACGTGGTTGGTGAAATGCCCTCATGGATCACGCCTGGCGGCAGCCGGAGTCAATCTTTGATAGTGTGTACGTGCATGTACACGCAGTGTGCGAGCAATACGTCATGGCAGTATTGCAGTCTAAATCTCGGTACTTTTATGGGCAGTAAAGTAAAACGGTCTGACAACAACTCCGGTAGCACACACGCTTTCCATCTGTTTGTCCATCAGTGTCGTGTGCCATCAGACTGTGTTACTCACGAGAGAATCATGTCTTAATGATCACGTATTAGTAATCAGATATGCAAAAGCCTTTAATTTTCGAAGAATTTTGAAATGACTCCAACCACACTAACGAAAAATTTTCATGACAAAGTTTCAGATTGGATAGATTTTAATTTTACCGATTTTTACTATTATGCAATTATTAAATAACAATTCATTTTTAAACAATAAATAAATTATACAATATTTAATAAATGATTAGATAAATAACTTTGACAATTATTGAGCAAAATAAATCTTATTATTGCTTAAAATAAAACTATTTCAGTATTTATACAAAATAAATCAAGTGTTCCAGATGAAAATTTAATTTAAATAAAATAAAGTTTAAAATAATTTTTTATTTTTATTGTATTTAAACAAAAAGATTTTTTAAATAACGTTGTCTTTTTTTATAATATCCATACGTGTTTATCAAGAATATCTCTAAGAAAATATGTCTAGCGAATAAGATTTCAGGTGATGTCACGTAAGTATACCTGATTATATATATAGTGAATGGAATTTAATATGACGCTCGGACGAAAATGGGGTCGATTGGTCTGTCAGCGGCGAACCAGACAATAGGACGATTTCGAGTCGCGATCGTGTCGGTACACGTGTACTAAGTAGGAAACACAACTCGCGCTTGAATACGAGTGTAATAAATCGCGCGGGAGGCGCGAGCCACCCGACGTTTGTTGTACAGGCGACGCGATCATGAATGGACTTTATAGCAGCCCGCCCATTTATAGGTAGTATGCGCGCGGTTTAGTAGCTATGGGCTTAGTGCGACGCGGTTGTATACAATCCTCTGTTTACTGCAAGTACGTACCTAGGAAATAGATAGGTTTATGACCAGATTTTCATTCGGGCTTTCGAAGCTGATCATTCACTAAATTAATACGAATTAACCCGCATACACTGACGCGGAAAAAACATTGTCTTGCGACATATATTTTTATAAATTCGATTTTTTCGGAGTGCGCTTATTATCGTATCGATTGATTGCCAAGTGTCATCAGTAGTATTCCCAACTTAATATATTCAAATTTAATATTTTAGTTCATAGTAGAGTAGATACTAAAATGTTGTATATATACATATACATATATGTATATAACTTTTGTACTGCAGCAATTGCAATGTTGCTCTGCTTCATTTAACAATTTTATATTTTTCAACTTTTTAATTTATAGCATCTATTGAATTAACATTATAAAATAATTTAAAAATTGTGAAAATAAATGTGCGTATAAATTAGCGCATTTTCTACTTGATCATAATCAAATTAACATTGTGAAAAATATAATATTAAATTAAAATTAATATTGTGCAACTCACCTTGTATACCGGGCAGTGTTCCGGGGAACACGCGGGAAAGCCTGCAATATGACATAGATTGCGACTATAAATTATGTGTTCCTTTACACATTCACATATTCACATACACATACACACACGTGCGCGCGCGCGCGCAGTCACAAATTTTATATATAATTATATAAATTATATATAAAAAATATATAATTGAAAGTCCGCGTAAAATATTGCATATGATATGATATATAATATATATATATATATATATATATATATATATATATATATCTTTATTACATATGTACTTTTTATCAAATTATAAATAATTAAGTACTAAGTATATTAATGTACGTTAAGAATGTAAAGCAAACAATTTGGAAAAGACGAACCTGCTGCTCAGCTCGAACGGGTGAAACGTCTTCTCCACGGCGCCGTACACTTTGAGGCCTTTTATTTACAAGTCCAAGAGGAAAAACGTCAGCCTGCAAAAAAAAAGCCGGAAGCGCAAATTAAATGGTCTGTCGGTTGATAACTGCCCTTCATAACGGGTCATGTCGCCATGAGTTTTATATGGCTTTTAGTAGCTTCTATCACGGCAGGTATAAAGTTCTCTACCTTGTACAACCATTAATGCGACGCCGTTCTATAACGAAACCTTACTTTGCTCTACCTTCTACACTCGGAGACTTAGCTTTACTGAACCACTTAAAAATGTTCATTACTTACTCATCTTATAGTGAAATAAATAATATTTGCTTAGAAAACAACTTAATCCAGAAACATTCCTATATTGTCCGAAACTCATGTTACACAAACAATTCAATTTATTCCATGTGTGTAATGTTTATCAATACAATGTTTCATTTTAACTAAAATATTTAAGCGGATAAATATTATGAACGCCAAGAAATTGAAAATATCTACGCAAAGAAAATATTGTAATTAAATTAGTCACGATTTCTTCGATATAAAAAATGTAATTTGTATTTGTAAAGTTCTAGATTTATGCAAAAGAGCTTGAATTCTGAAGTTGTGGCGAAAATAGAAAAATAAAAATATAGTCTACCTAAGTCAAATTTTCGAGAAAAGATTTATATCCAAGTCTAGAATATGTGAAAGCTTGAGTGAAAAGAAAGCGGATTATCTGTATCCGTTTCTTTTCACTCAAGTTTTCATACATTCGAGAAAAGGCAGATGTTATCTCGAATTACAATCGTAATGATTGATGAAAATTCTATAAACTCTAATAAAATCTTCTTTTAATCTATTTTTTTATCTTTATAAATCTTATATTTACAATACAATATTATTAACTAAGTTAATATATTTCAATTTTAGTTTTAAGATTTGTATTTATCTGTTTGTGTTAATGTAAAATAACATTTTTCGTGTTCAATCTATTTAATTCATTTTTTTAATTCTTCTAATGTTAACGTTATCAACTATATATATTAAATATGAAATTTTCTCGACAAAACTGGGCTTAAAAATATTTATACAAATAGATATCTACCATATAATAAAGACTGTTTAGCCTTTCTTTAAATGTCACGAACGGGCAAAAAGTTTCGCTTTCCCGATCAAGGGAGAAATAATGTCGGCGAAATGTGGGCAGGACGTGCTACGTAGACAGGGATATTACTTTTAAGGTTGAACAATAAGGGGACGGCGAGAGGTCAGAAAAACGCGTTTGGCAAACTCAGTCTGTGCAAACCAGAGGAGATTGGTCGAGGGCGCACAACAATCGGAGAGAGAGACACGAGAAAGCTCTCGGTTCCCTGCCATTCCTTTCGTCAGCAAGGGGATGACGTTACTAGGATGCCCACACTCGCGGGCTCACACGCACAGTCCACTCGCGTGAAACATTTGGGAGAACTGGTCCCATTTGTCACTCAGTGTTATCCAACTCCTTTTAAACACACTCGCCCGTGAAGTCAAATCTAAACTTGATTCTTGGTAATTATATGCCATATTGAATGGATTATATGGTCTCAAAGAATTTTTCAACAAAAATCAAGTGATAAAATCAAATATAGTGAATGAAAAAAAAATAATAGTATTCTAAATTAATATAAAAAGTATCTAATAATTCTAATCCACTTACGTTAAAAAATTAATATTTTGCAATATAAATGAAAGATAAGATTACGTTTTTCCAAAGATAAAATTAACATCGTAATGAACTCTAAACGTGTCTGTAATATTGCTTATTGAAAGCTCCGGTTTGTAACGTATCACAAATAAACATCTTTAAAGAGATTATTCACTCAGACAAAGAAAGTAATTTAAGAAGTTCATATGTTTTCTATCACTTCGTGGTTACACAATAAACACAGTAATGCACTTATGTGAGACATCCCTTCACAATTTTTATTATCTCTAACGCGCCTCTCTTATCTCTCCTTCCATTTATAGTTTCAAGTTGAAATGAGGTGTTTCGTTACATCCACATCATCCAACGTTAAGCGGCCGTCAATCGTCTTCGATATTTCTACATTTTTTAAGTTTTATTTAATTTAAAAATACATAATTTAAAATAAAAAAATACTGCAAATACTCAAATAAGAAAACGTTTCTTTCAAACGAATATTTAATTTAGCAATGGCATTTTAAATATTTAAATCTTTTGTACGGCAAAAAGATTTATTAATCCCTGCCGCTTTTTTCTTTCTTGCCTTGTCTCTCATTACGCTGACAGGCGGCAACCCTAAGCATAACATGGTGCGGAAGATTTAATTCCTTCGAGATGATTAAAAAAATTCAACCCTTCTACACAATAAAGAAATCTCAATTCCCACCGGACTGCGAAATTGAAATATAGTGTTTAGGGTACTGCTATTTCGAGAACGATTTGCCGGGAGTTCAAATAGTAATGTGGAATAATAACAATGACAATGGTCTACGTATCTAAATTATAATTTTACTCTTTGTTTAAATGTATATTTTTTATTACTATACATTTTATACGTATCCAAGCATTTTAATGTCTTTGAAGAGTAAAAAGGTCTCACCCTAATTAAGGCATATATCTCTTATTTTGGTCTCTCATATATTTTAAATGCGCAGACGTTGAAAATGCGTCCGGTGCGCGAAGTAGCTCGCGGGGATCGCAAGGGTGTCTGGAACGCAGGGGGTTGGAAGAGCGGAATAACGCGTCTCATAACCGTGTGACGCGACGCGTGCCAGTTTCAGCGGGGCGTCGAGACGCCTTTCGGCGCTTCAATGCTGCCGGCACCGGGACGCCCTCTCGTTTCGGAGGCAGACGCTATGGCCGGACGACCAATCCTGGTCGGTGGTTCGTAAAGCGCTTCCAATATGGCAGTGGCGTGCGCCCAGCGGGACGAGGAACTGGTGTACTATGTCTGATGAAAGCGACAAGTAGAGTCTCTCTTTAGCGGAGCCTGCACTTTGTTGACTTCCATACGTTGTTTGCATAACATAAATTAATCAATTCTAATAATATTTTAGCAGAAATTGCTGAATTTATCTTGCAGTGTTTTCAAAATGAACGACACGTACTGTTTCTATCTACACAAACGCGTTAATTTTTTTATTATTGAAACGCAAATCAAATGTATATTCTCTTTAATTTCATTAATAATGTATTATGTTATGTAAATGCATATAAATTTCATGTAAGATCTATAACTCTCGAGCATCAATCGTAGTTAATTCATGCAAAATTTATGCAGAAACGTAACTTTAGTTATTTTTAATTTTTAATTTTCTCGATGCATGACTGTGTGTGATTTCGAACACGTAGCCAAATAATCGCCAAACAGCAAATCCCGTTATAGAGCGATTTTAAGTCTCAGAATCGTGCTGGTTTTTTTTTTGTCGTTAACTTGAGCTGTGGCCGCTGATTTGTATTTTATTCTCCGTATATACACAACTGAAACAAAGTGTAAGCGCGGGTTTCCATTTGAGTGAAAATAGAGAAGGAGCAAGAAGGATGCAAGAAACAACATATAGGGAGGGAAGAGAAATTCAAGAGGGCTTGAAGACTGAGAAAGTGGTGGTGAGCTTGAGCACGTATAGGCTACGTGAGTGTATGGCGGCTCGGTATTGAGTCAAGAATGGGCTAGACCATTTCGTGTTCCTGGGGTTGCGTCGTCATGGGAACCATCCTCATCAGGCAAAGTCTCTCAGGATTTTTCCTCATTCTTTCGTTTCTGTTGCCCTTCCACGCGAATCTATTGTCGCTCCCGTACATATTCCGCATGCCGACCTGCTGCTTGGCATCGTTTTACCTGAGGAACGTGCACGCGTCTATTGTCGATGCGCGTCTTGCATTCGAATGATTTTGATAATGCATTTCATGCATTGCCGTTAGCAATATAATTTTGGTGAAAATGTCGCTTTAACATTTCACGATTAATATAATTGAATATAAGTAAATTATTTCCGAATATATACTCTTTTTATATACCCTCGTATTTTTCGTCAGTTTTTATACAAATCCTGCCAATCTTTATATTAGATCTTATACAGTGACGATTACTGTTACAAGCAAAAATAGTTGATGCAAAATAGAAAAAAGCAATTGTGATAAAAGTAATATTGTTAAACGATATTAATACTTAATTGGACGTAATCTATATCTTCAGGCATACCCGGCGTAATAAAGTAAGTAAAGCGATTTAGTGTGTCGCAAGGCATTTTCCTCGCGTTAAGTACTCGAAGAGATTGGGGCCGCATGGAAGCGGAGCTATAGATAGAAAGCTATCCGGGAACCACGCCTTGCGAGAGATATCCAGATGCCAAGGCATTAGCCTCATCCCCCAAACCCCCGTCCACGATTTTACCCCGGTCGACTTTACCTTATCTCAGTTCATTTTGAATATATTACGGCACAGCGATATCCACGGTTTTTGCACAATTTAGGACACTGTATATATGCATTCCCTCCTATACACGGATATATACAGATACTTAAAGGACTAAAATGTAATTTCGTGATTTTTATTTGCTCCGAAGAGTTCCAGATTCCTTGTTATACCTGAGATAACAAACCACCATTCTAAGATTAACATGGCGCTGAATCTTAATTTTATAATTTAATCGCTGCACAATGTATTTCATGTATCGCGGAGAAAGCGATAAAATGATATTAAAAATAATAAAAATACAATAAAAAGATTCGAGATATTATGACCCTCTGAACGATTTACTTGAGAAAAAGTTAAAATGCACAAAATTATTGTACAAGTTCAACAAGAAAAAAAATCGAGTTGACAATTAAGTCGGAATTAATCTCAGTAGCCAATGAACTTTTCGATTAATAATTCTCAATTTTACCAAGTATAGAAATATGATTTAAAACTATAAGACTTTTCTTGATTCACAGAATTGGTAACTTTCCTTCTCTCTCCTTTTTTCCTTTTCATCTCGCTACGTCACAGTCTTTTTTTGAACTCATCAAGGCTACGTTGAGCTACAACGGATATGGTATAGAAAAGAAAGCAGACATGAGATCGTTAAC